GAGCTGCTGCCAGGGAGGCTCTGATAAGGCGAAAGTTGGCAAAGCGGGCGCGTGCACCAGCTGATACCCAAGACCCCTCCACCACCTCCCAACACAGTGCCTCTCCCTCCGCCTCCCCATCCCCTTCCCCCACCACCTCCCACGCCACTTCCGCCTCACCCTCTCCTTCCAAGTCCCCAGCCGCGTCCACCTCCCCCGCTGGCTCCCCTGCAAACTCCCCCGTCGCCTCCCCCACCGCCTCCAACTCCCCCACCGCCTCCTTCACCCCCACCGCCTCCTTCACCCCCTCCGCCTCCAACTCGCCCGCCACCTCTCCCACCGCCTCCTCCTCCCCCTCCGCCTCCCCCAACACCTCCCCCACCGCCTCCGCCTCCCCCTCTGCCTCCGCCTCCCCCGCCACCTCCCCCACCACCTCCCAACGGCATTACCCTCACCTGCCGTCTAGCCCGATGGGTACTGCTCCTCGTCCTCGCCACCAGCCTCAGCGCCGTCTTCTCTTTGGCCAAGAGGGTGTGCAAGGCAGCGCCATGAAGGCACCCTTCCCCGCCCCCCAGCGGCCCCAGTACCCTCCCCAGACGCCGCCAAGTCCGTTGGGTGCAGCGGCTGCTTCTCCTCGACTGCCCCCTAGCCGTCGGCAGCCTGAGGAGGAGCACGGCGTGCAAGGCAGCGCCATGAAGGCACCCTTCCCCGCCCCCCAGCGGCCCCAGTACCCTCCCCAGACGCCACCAAGTCCGTTGGGTGCAGCGGCTGCTTCTCCTCGACCGGCCCCTAGCCGTCGGCAGCCTGAAGAGGAGCACGGCGTGCAAGGCAGCGCCAAGAAGGCACCCTTCCCCGCCCCCCAGCGGCTGCAGCAGCCTCTCCAGACGCCGCCAAGTCCGTTGGGTGCAGCGGCTGCTTCTCCTCGACCGGCCCCTAGCCGTCGGCAGCCTGAGGAGGAGCACGGCGTGCAAGGCAGCGCCAAGAAGGCACCCTTCCCCGCCCCCCAGCGGCTGCAGCAGCCTCTCCAGACGCCGCCAAGTCCGTTGGGTGCAGCGGCTGCTTCTCCTCGACCAGCCCCTAGCCGTCGGCAGCCTGAGGAGGAGCACGGCGTGCAAGGCAGCGCCAAGAAGGCACCCTTCCCCGCCCCCCAGCGGCTGCAGCAGCCTCTCCAGACGCCGCCAAGTCCGTTGGGTGCCGCGGCTGCTTCTCCTCGACCGGCCCCTAGCCGTCGGCAGCCTGAGGAGGAGCACGGCGTGCAAGGCAGCGCCATGAAGGCACCCTTCCCCGCCCCCCAGCGGCCCCAGTACCCTCCCCAGACGCCGCCGAGTCCGTTGGGTGCCGCGGCTGCTTCTCCTCGACTGCCCCCTAGCCAGGGCAGCATGCAGTCTCCTCCTCGCTCTCATGTGCTTGATGAGGATGCACCTGTGCCAACAGCCACCCGGGCTGCTGCTGGTGGCCTGCGTCCAGGCTGTGTTCCGCCGCTCATTGGCTCTGGGCTCTCGGGGGTGCAGCGGCAGTATTGCTACGGTGGGTCCTTTGCATCCAACCTGCCAGGTCGCAATTGGCCCAAAGACGCGCTAGGCAGTCGGTGCCGTATTGGCTTCCTCTCCTTTATGAAGCAGAACATCAGGCTTGCTCCCATTACGGAGGAGATGGCGGGCTTTCGGAGCTGGAACCTCCAGATTCACAACTTCAACGGCAGGCCTGGTGTTTCCGAGTCGACGTACAAGGGCTTGGTTAGCACTGTATCGAAGTACCTCGGCGTGTGCTTCCTGTACCAGGGGGCGCCGCTTCCTCTCATCTCGCTGCGACTCTTCAGCAACCCGGTAGGCATGAGGGGCAAGCATAAGGGACTCAGGGGCAGGGGGCGGTGTAGGGTTGGGTTTGGCAGGTCATGAGCATTAATAGGAAGGCGGTGGGGGATCGTGCTTTGCCCTGTCTTGGGGCTGGTTTACTGACACGTGGGGTTTTAACATGCCGTCCCTTTCCCTGCTACTGCCACAGACCTACGCCGTCGAGTACATAGACCTCATGGTGCGACGGGGCGGAAAGATGCGCATCCAGGCAGAGATCTCGCGGGTTATCCGCGTGATCCACTACCTGATCGAGAGGGACGCCGGCCTGCACCCCGACATGCAGCGGGAGGTGAGAGATTGGTCAAGGGTTTGTGTGCCTCTGTAGTAGTGGGTCCCATATTGCTGTTGCCGTTCAGTGAAGGTACCCTACCTCAGAACAATCTCGTTATGTACTGGTGAACCTTGCTAACACCCACACGCTTTGGCCGCCTTTATTGCCTCAGGTGGCCTTCTGCAAGGACATGCAGGACTGGCTGAGGCGCATGTGCTGCCAGCTGCGGAAGACGTTCCCCTACGAGGCGCCAGCGCCTGCCCCACCGCCAGTCGTCCTTGACTCCGATGGCGAGGCGGCCCCTGTTGGCCTCCCTGACAAGGACACCGTGCTGGGCTTCGTGACGGGTCTGATCAGCCTGGCAACGGCAGCCATGCAGGTGGAGTTGGAGGACGGAGTCAGCATCAGCTTGGACACCGCAGTCCTCATGTCGGACGCTGTGCTCGCTGCTCTCATGTCTGGCGTGTTCGTTCCACCGCTGCGGCTGTCTTGAGTCCGGACGCTGATGCGACCTGGAAAGGCCGCGTGTACGCAGTGCAAGCGAGAGGGGTGTCGCGGCAACAACCTGCAGCTGCTGCAGCCAGCTGGAGTCCTGCAGTGTGAGCTGCTGCACCACAAGACGGAGAAGCACGCTGCACCCATCCACTTCACCTTCCCGGACGACCTGGCTGACTTCATTCTCAAGTACGACAGCATTGCACGGCCCGTGCTGGCCAAGTACGGGGCTGCCAAGGTGGATGCGGACGCGCCAGAGTCGCCTTACCTGGTGCTGTCGCGTGGAGGGCTTCCCTACAACGACTACAACATTCAGATAGGGCCTGCATGGCACCGGATTCAGGAGGTGTATGACGCACCGTGGCAGCCCCATTTCAAGGCCTCGGAGTTTCGGCACGTCCATGCGACAACTGCCTACAGCGCCGTTGTTCGTGAGGTCGCGGCCAACACGGCGCCGTTGCGTGGAGACGCGTTTGTCATGGGCAACTCCCTGCGCGTCTGGGACAGCCACTACGTCAAGGGCAAGCACTCCATGCTGGCCCAGGCGACTGTCGAGCGCCTAACGAGCTGGCGACAGGAGCGGCAGCAGCAAGGGGGTGGCGAGGCGGGGCCGTCAAGCTCGGGTCCTATCCTGCCAGCGGCAGGCATGACCCGCGGGACAGTCCAGGCGCCTGCATGGTCAGCAGGCGGTCAGGCGCGGGGCAGCAGCGGCTCTGGGCTGGCGGCAGGAGGGGCAGCCGGCAGCAAAGTGCAGCTGGGGACCATCGATGGGGAGAGTTGGGACGACTGCATGGAGAGCGGTGGGAACAGCAGTGCAGGGCAGGGGGCGTCCGACGGCTTGGAGAAGGGAGAGGAGGACTGGGTAGTGGAGTCGGGAGGGGGAATGGACAGGACGCACAGGACTGGAGATAAGCAGGAGGAACGCCTAGAGGATTGGCCTAGCATCATTTCCCAGCAGCAGCAGGCAGTTCGCAGGAAGCGCAAGTGGTCCAGCGCTGTATAAGGGGGAGTAGCACATGGGGCTGAGGGCAAGGGAACGAACTGTGTGCATTAATTAGTAGGTTTGGCTTTGCTGCTGAAGCCATGGATTGCTCGGTACGGATGCTGGCCAGTTTGCATTGCATTGCTAGGTACTCATGTGCGTTGAGCCATTGGGGCTTGTTAATCCAAGACTCCCCCGGGCGCATGTTCACACGCAGCCAGAACGCGGCTTCATATGAAACCCACTTTGCCCAACTGCCTTGTTTCAGCTATGCAGTTAGTGTTTATGTTACGTTGTTTCGTGAGTTGCATATATTCAACGGCCGGAGACGCGCGGTCTCACGGCGCTCGGATTTACTGCGGCATTGGCCTGCGGCAGACTTATAGGGTGCGCGGGTTTTCACACGGCGGGGCATCTGCCGTACGACAGTGCTGCTGTTTACGCACTGAAGCGTCTCTGTGTAAACACCATGCATACACTCGCTTACGTATTTGAGTTGGTTATAGATAACTATTAGTTCTTAGTCTCAGCGCTAGGTCAACATGTAACTCGTGAAGGATGGCGGGCAAGCTAAACAAAACTCAACCTCAGAAAGTCGCAAAGACTGTGCGAAAGCCTATTTGTTCAGAGATAATCAAGCAGTTCGATGATATCCTTGCTGGGCAGAAGGGCTATGCGGTTGCAAAGTCCTGTGCCAGCATCCTCGAGGGAAAACTGCAGTCGCTAGAGGTAAGAGCTCCTGCCCAGTGCTTTGTTGAATTCCAATTAATTGTGCGTATTTTATTCAGAAACGCGCTTTGATGTGTCAACGCCCAACGTGAACACAGTATGAGCTTGGCGGTGCTGGTGGCGTTCCCGGCGATGGTTTATATGGCTCAATCACATTGGGCCAGTTCCATCGCCTGCTTTGCTATCTGCGCCTGGTGGACCTCTTGCGACCTTGCGAGAGCGTCCTGGGCGACATCGGTGCGGGCATAGCGAGGTGAGTCGGCATGCATGGCCCGGTCTTAGGAGGGGCACACGTACGGCAAAAGGGGTGGGGAAAGGCGAGGGGAGGGAGAGGTCATGAGCCACACGTGAAGCATCAAACACGGTGGTTTTCCATGTGAATGCAGGCCGGTGGTCATTGCTACCTTCTGCTTTGGTGTGGAGGCTACTGGATGGGAAACCAGCGTCAACAGGGTGTACGTTGGCACCTCTATCATTAGTAGGATAGCCGACAGGTGCACAGCACCCGGCAACAAGGAGGTGGAGCCCCCCATCATGGCAACCGTCTTCCACTGCGCAGCGCAGTACAGCAAAAAGCCCCCCACCATTGCTAAAGCCAATGCTGCAAAGGTACGACGCTTGTAGCCTGGGGTTTCATGTGGCGGTCGCCAGCTGTTACACGGTTGCCAGCTGTCTTGTTCGCATGCAGGTGGACTACAAGGACTGTACGGTTCTGTACACCTTCTGGCAGGGCGTTAACCCAGATGACCGGAAAGCCATCTGCGCCCAAGTGGCGCGAACACAGCAGAAGCTCGAGGTAAGAGCAGGTTGGGCGTGCAAGGTCCTCTGTGTATGAGGGAGGCAACGGCAGGGACATCCCGTGCGCTGGCAGTTAGTTAACCACCTTATGGTTGCTGTACGACACCATACACTCGCAGGTTGTGATCATCGTGCAGCAGGCCCTTCGTCAAAAAAGCCCAGCAGAGCAGTACATGGCGGACTTGGGGCTTCCTGGCCTAAGCCTGCTGTGGTACTCACCTGTCGGTGCGCAAGGTAAGAGCCCAGCTCGGGGATGGGCCGCCTTTTGGTGATTAGAGCCTACTAAACATCGTGCATGCATGCAGGCGGGCAGAAGTTTCGGGCCTACACCTTTATCACGGAACTCGGTAGGCGTAAGCAGCAGGCGCCGAGTCCTGAGCGGCTGCCACTCATCCAGGTAAGCGACTTAGCTGGTACGGATGTGATGTCGTACATCATGCCGCCGTACACATGCGGTTTTGGGGCTCAGAGAGCGTGTTGTTGCATTTTGCATTGCGGTGTGCAGCTGGGGTCGCTGCCTCGTGTACCTGTGTCATCAAGGGCAACGATGCATGCAGCTTACTCCCTTGGATTGATAGGGCTGAATCGTTGCATGGTCCCAACCTCTTCCTTCCACAGGCAGGGGTGGATGACGCAGAAGCCCCCATGGAGCTTGCAGATGGCGCCGAGCTGGCCACAGCTGCTGAGGCAGCGGCAGCTGCTGACCCTGTTGCTCCTGACGCGGAAATGGAGGCTGTCGTGGATCCTGCTTTGGAGGTAGACTATGACGCCGCAGAGCCTGCACCCAAGAAACCCCGGCTGTCGTCTCCTAGCAAGGACCGCACAGCCCCTGCTGCTGCTGCTGCTGCTGCTGCTGCTGCTGCTGTGGCGGCGGGTATCAACACTCCTGCTGCACGGCGGGTGAGTTAACCCCTAGGGATGCAAAGTCTTTTCTGTTATCCCATGCTTAACAACAGCGGGTTCGCAATCTAGCCTCCCCATGCACACCCCCTGCATGTGCGAGTCCCCTGCATGTGCGAGCCCCTTGCATGTACAGCTCTTCCGTACACGATCCCCTTGCTTGCTGTACATGTCGTACAGGTGGCGAATGGGGGCCCCCAAACCTGCAACGCCTCGACTTCTCCATTGCAGCTGTTTGCTGCCGCTGCTTCTGCTGGTGACGGATCCGCCTCAGGCGTGCTTGGTGGCGCGGGCACAAGCCCAGCAGGGCTAGCGCCACCTGCATCAGCCACCGCTGCAGACCTGGTAAGTCGTACACCAGCACGACTGCCAGCAGTTGTGGGCGTTCGTGTGTTTTTTGGTGTGCAAGATCCGCCTCCTCTTTCTCGTACCACCACATGACACCATTGCACGTCTGACCCCCGTGCTCTGCGTTTTTCTTCTTGCTTATGCAGGTGCAGCACCAAAGCTGCTGCACGCAGCCCTCTGCTGCTGCTGCCGCTGCTGCTGCTGCTGCTGCTGATGTGGCTACCAGCGGGTCCCCAGCAGGCGTGCCAATGGGGCGGTCTCCGCCGCTGAGCACGGCAGGAGTTGTCCCCTCCCTGGCTCCAGCCTCCTCTCCACCCGTGCCTACAGATCTGGTGAGTTCAGCTATAGCCTAGCTAGCTCCTTTGTTAGCATACCGATTTAGATCGCTGTGTGGTAGTGCAGAGCATATATTGCCTCTCTCTCTCTCTCTCTCTCTCTGTGTATGCCCTGCTGCTGCTGTCTTGGAGGAACGCATGATTGAGCTAACCACCAGCAAAGCAGGAGGTTTAACGAACCCCCAAGCTGACAGGAAGCGCTCCTATCGCCCCCCTCCCATGTTTCCCCTGCAGGAGCACGAGCTACGTGAGAAGTACGGCATGCCAATGGTCAAACTCTTGCTGGAGCTGAAGGAGCCCGTGGCAGTTGGCCTGCTCGCTGTATGCCTCAGCACCAGCTCTCTCGACTGCTTCGACGCGCTGGAAACGCTGAGCCTGTTCTTCTTGGGCCCCTCACGAGCCCAAGGGAACGTGGCGGCGAGGCTGCTGGAGTGTGGAGCGAGGGCGATGCAGTCGCTGCTTGGTTCCCGCGGCTACCAGACAGCCAGCAACCCACCGGGGGGCTTGTCGCGGGTGGAGGTTCTACAGAAGCTGATGCCCAAGGCCCTCAAGTCCTTGCGCAACACTGTCGCCCGTGGGCGCACGGCAGCAGCCTCTTCCAGCAGGGGGGGCGCAGCAGCACCTGCTAGGAGCGACGCCGAGGTGAGCGCTTGCTTATTAGGGAAAAGGGAAAACGGTGCAGTGCTCTCTGCATATGCACTGGTGATGCCAGCTGCTGCTCCCTCCCGCCTCATCAGTGAATGCCTTGATCAATTGGAGGGGATGTACGGCACAGCAGAGCAGACGTGTATGCACGTCCCTTCTTCCGTGCATGTCCCTTTTCACGTCTGCGTCTGACCCTCTTCCTTGCCGCCCCTGCCCAATGAATGCTGCCGTACATGCAGGCTCCTGCCACCGGCGTTTCTTCCAGATCATCAAGTGCTCCTGCTGCTGCTTCGGACGCTGTGATGGACGACGCCGCTGCCGCCGCTGCTCCCAGTGCTTTGGGCTATCACGCACCAAGCTCAGCTCTCGACATGGTACGGCAGCTCAGACGGCGGGCAACCCACAGCAGCACGCACAGCCATCATCAAGAACCGCCGGGGCGGCTGTCACCCTGCAGATCATCCGCTGCCCCTGCGTCTGCTGGAGAGGTGAGATGGGCTTTGTAGTTAGTATGTGTACGAGACAACGTAAGAGGGGTCTTTTGGCAGAGCATGTAGCAGGTGTTTTGCCAGTGCGTTACAGTGCATGCAGTATACTTTTTGGCCAAACCTGCATCCAAGCACCTCCGCTGCTGCTCGAACTGGAAGGTTGCCGTACACCCTCTCTCCCCTCCCCGTCACCCCCGTCATCACCCCCGTCATCACCCCCGTCGTCCCACCCAAACACGCAGGTGTTCGTACGGCACGGGGGAGTGGAGTACAAGAAGGTGGATGGCCTCCCCGCCACCTTTGTCAGCAGGTGCGGCAAGGTCCTGTCCTTGAGGGCGGCGGGCTACAAGCCTGTGGCCGTTACCCGTCATAGAACAACGGGCCACGCGGTTGCAAAGGTTAGGTTTCCTGGCTCGGCGTCTGGGGATGAGCGACGGGTGCAGGTGCGCAGGCTTGTAGCGGCCACCTGGATGCCAGTGGAGGTAGTCAAGAAGCTAGGCCTCACCTGCGCGGAGCCTTACGTGGGGCCCCTGCAGGAGGCTGTATGCAGGCTAGCGCACAGGGACAGAGACGTTCTAAACGTGGGCGTAGATAACCTCGAGGTGGTCCCCAACTAACTAGCTAGGTGCCCCACTAGGGGACGGATAGGAGGCACCGTTCGGGTTGATGATGTTGTAGTATGTACGTGTGTTATCTTTTGGTTAAGAGCTCCTGCTCCTGATGCACGCGCGTTGTATGTAGTGCGCCGCACATACAGCAGGTTTGCATGAAGAGAAGGACACCGCAGTGTTGGCAAGCAGGTTGTATGCATGTGTGTGCCCAATAACACGACTCTGTCCTATATGATGATGATGATGATGATGATGATGATGATGATGATGATGATGATGATGATGATGATGATGGTGGTGGTGCACTGATTTGACCTGGTTTAAGCGAGCGTGTCTCTGTGTGTGATTTTGCCAACAGTTGCACGGTTGCTGTGGTGATGATAGATGGCGACCCGTCGTTTTATGCAAACCATGCTCATGTCGTACATGCTGCTGCTATTCATGCAGCAGCAACGTTCTTTCCTAGTGAGTAGTAGTAGTAGTAGTAGTAGTAGTTCTTTGGGACGTGTCACCATCGTACATGGTGCCTATGGCTGGGAACAAGCGGAGCTGGTAGCGCAGCAGCAGGTGGTTGCCTTTAATTGGCTCTTGTACGACGACAACAGTGTGTAGTACGGCGGTTAGGCTACAGATGACCCATGGGTCATCAGGCTGTTAGGGGTGTTGTTAGTTGTTATTATGCATGGCGGCGACTGCACATTGGCGTGTCTGTCTCTTACCTATATTCCTCTCTCTATCTATCTATGTCTCTCTCTAGATATCGTTGAACCCAGTGCTGTTGTTCATGTTGTTGTGTGGGGTTGCAGGCAGGCAGGCAGGCAGGCAGGCAGGTGTGAGCATTCTGAGCATGACGTTGGTGTGAGCAGCAGGGCGTTTTCAGCAGGAAGCTGACAGGCAGGCAGGCAGGCATATTGAGTGCGCTGGTGGTACTGTGCGTGTGTGTGTGTGAGAGCAGGTGGTGGGCTTGACAACGACGCAGCAGGCTAGCAGTGATTACTAGGCAGGAGATAGAGCAGCTGGGCAGAGCATGCACAGGCATGGAGTAGTTGTGGTAGACTACCACTGTAACATTCAAGCAAACAGAAAGGAAACACCTCGCTCCTCTCGCATGCACCGCACACAAACACGCACAGCAGAGCACAGCTCTCAGCAGCGGCCGGCGGCCGCTGCTGTCGGCGCCGCGGATCAAAAAGTTACGTGTCGGGTCCGGGATTCGACCCCACGCGCGTACCCAAGCTAATGGGTATAATACGGCAAGAAGCACCATACCTTCTCATATACCGCCCAGGCTCTCATCATGACCAAACAACAGCAGCAGCGCTACATATCATTAACCTCGCCAACAGCCCCAGACCCAAAGCAGGGCCTTGCGGGAAGGGGAAGCAGCCCCGAAACCACACGGGAAAAGTGACACACTTTGACCGTGTACGAAGGCCCTCTACACGTGGAGACGCAGCCACAACCGCGCATCCATGCCTAGGCATGCAACACCCAAGTGCAGTGCAACCGGGGGAAGCCGCAAAGGAGCCCGCAAACATGCCATGCGGCACGCGCAAAAACACCACGCCAGCCAAAGGACACTACCTACACAAAAGCCGATTTGCGATACATACAAACAACGATAGCTGCCCGAAACAACACCAATCGATTCAACAACATCATATTACCCTAATCAGCCAGCCCGATCGCAAAGCCAAGCAAGCGAGGAAATAATCAATTCAAAGCCGCGGTCAACGGTACGGAAAAGAGAGAAACCAAGCCATTAGAAGCCGGGAAAAAATTTCCTCGCTCCTCGACCACAACTACAAGCGACGACGCTTTATCACACACGCAAACAAACAACTGCACACTCATACTCACATAAGCATGTCCTCATTCATATTATTTGTGCATGCAGGGTATATGACGGCTCAAATGAAGGCCGGGCTGAGAACTGCGCGCGGGCCGAGCACGAACCGCCCAAGGCTCGACTGTGCAGCGTTCCTGCCAAAGGCAAGACAATGGTCTTATTTGTTATTATCTGTATCCTTTCAAGCTGGCTAAAATTAAAAAACGGCCACAGAGCTTGTTCGTCTGCGGTTTTGCCCCTTGGCGCCAATGCTAAAAAGCACTTTTATTTGCCGCAAGCTGCTGATATCGATTCAATAAATTATGCTCTTTCAATCAAGAATAGAACTTTGTGCTTGATCGCTGAAAAGTTTCGATGCTGCTTTTGAGCGCCTAGCGCTTACGGCCGCCGCTCCTCATGCTCATTGCAGCAGGCAGAGACGCTACCAATGAGCACGTTACAACAATAATAATACGATCGTCTCTCCCAAGAACGCCGCTGCTCTGTCTGCGATGCCAACTACCGGTACCGACCGAGCCACGGCGGCACCGCTGCTGCCCATCAGCAGGGGCGTGTTGCCAGGCAAGTACTCCCCCATGCAGGTATCGTACAGCCAGAAGACAAACTATGTATCTATCCGTGATGATTCCCCCAAGCAGTAACATGCAGCAGTTCTCGATCTATCTAGGACAGCGCTGTCCGTGTAGCAGTATTGCCACGTGCACAACTCAACTAACGCCTACCACATGCAGCTCTGTGTTACCACACCTGTCGTACGTAAAGCGACCCGTGGGTCACCCCCTGGCCCCCTTGCCCCACACCGCCAAGACCGCGACTGGCTACGGTAAATCCCCGGACTCAGAGGGGTGCTGTCCGCCCTGCTGCTCGTTGCTCCACGCCGTACGCGGACCATCACGGGAATTCCACGGGGGTGCCGTCAGGGAGGAACTGCTGCTGAGCGGTGCGTGATCTGGTCTCCTCAACTACCGTCTTGTAGGCCTTGGAGTCACCCTTCCTGTTGAGGGAACCTGTGCCCCACCAAACGTGGCAGGGGTTGATGCATGTACGGCAGTCGCAAAGATGCATGACTGCTGGCTGCTGTTGCTGTGTTGGTTGCTGTTCTTCTTGTCCCTGCTGCTGCTGCTGCTGCTGTTGCTGCTTTGAAGGCTGCTGTCCTGGCAGAGTGACTGGCGTGGGCCCATGCACCGCCCAAACCATCACACGGTGCAAAGCATCGATCTGCTGCTGCTTCCTGCCCTCCTGGCCCATCACACAGGAGACATAGCTGTCCACGCCCTGCTGCTGCTGGAAGAACAAGGACCGCAAGAGCTTGTCAGCTGGATCCGTTCGAGGCTGCAGCTTCACTGTAAGACACAAGCTGCGCCAGGTGTTGCCAACCTTCACATGCAGAGGGTAAAGAAGCAGGCAAGCCCTTGCGACGTCCTCCTTGTTGAGCGACCTGCGATGCTTGACCCTGTCGTACAGTGTGTCCACTGCTCTGTGCCACTGCTCTTGCTGCCATGTTGGGATGTAGGAGTGGGGAAACGCCGGTTTTAGGCAAACCTTGGCAATGCTGCTTAGCATCTTGATGGACCTCGCACATGGGCAACCCACAGCCGTGTCCCAAAGGCCGCTACTGCCCGTTGCCCTTGCCAACACAGGAAGCAACTGGTCCTTGAGCTCAGGAGGATCCTGGGCTGGTGTGGGAGGTGATTCCCCCAGCTGAACCTCAGCAGCCTCACGCACGCGTGCTGATGGACGCCGCTGGCGAGTGCTGCATCCCTGCTGTGATGCCTCTACCGGTACCAAACCCGATGAGGGGCATGGGGCAGTGCCTGGGGTACTGCTGTACACTAGGGTACGACAGGTGGCTGCTGCGTCCTCATAGCTGATGTCAACTGGTGTGGTGCTGCTGCATGAAGATGTTCTCTGGCGCTTGAATGAGGACTTGTCGTACGGCTGCTGAGGTCGGAAGCGTAATAGGCCAAGGAAGAAGGGGTTCTGGACCCCAAACCTTGCGTACTGGTGTTCACTGTAGTTAATGCTAAAGCAAGGGTCGCCCTCAAGCACGGGCTGGTGGCACTCTGGAACCGCTGCTGTGGGGCGCGACTTGTCTGCCTTCCTCTGTTGGTTCAAGTCCCGTTTACTGATGCCCTGCTGACATACATTTTACAATAGCAATCGTCTGTTATGCTTGTAATATTTTACGAAGCCGCGCTAAGGAAAACGTACCTGCGAAGAAGAGGTTGCCATACGATTCTGACCAATGGCTTTGCTCTACGTTGTTTGTAACTAAAAGACTAGAGATTCTTTGAATAAGAAACAGATAATGAGACGCGTGCCGGCCGCTATCCTTGCACGTATGGGCTTTCTTTTATCTGTTGTAATGATAATGTAACAAACAGTCTACTGTTAAAGTAAAAGAAGTAAAGTAATTAACAAGGACAACTCGCCGAATCTTTCCAAGTTAGATGCCAGTTGCGGCTTGTAGTACATAGGTGGATTGCCGTACGTGTACAGCATGCCGTACAAATGACGCTTTCTTTACCATCGTGACACCTATGCGGCAACGCCTTCCTATTACAAGTGTTGCATGTCCATGGCCAGGTCTCTTAACGGTGTCAAACAGTGGAGATTTCTACACGACCAGGCCTCTTCATGACTTGCCAAAACATCTTGTCGGTTCCTCTATCGGGGCTATGAACCCCAGTGGCACTGAAGGCCGATAGAGCATCAGTTCGCATGAAACAGCATGGCATATGAGCGCAGCTAAACATGTTAACAATGGGAAGGGGAAACATGGATGCAGTCCTTCAAGCATGAGGAGGAGGGAGGGAAAACTTATAGTTCTTTTAGCACAACCACCTTATTGAAAGGGCGCCGAGGAATGAGGGGAAAAGAAAAAGGCAAGCAGAGAGCGAAGCAAGCGTACAAAACAGTAATGTGTGCTGCCAAACTGACCCACGGGTCACTTCATGACAGAGACCTTCAGGAAATCGCCCCAAATGCGCAATTAAAGCTAACTCGCGCATACATGCAACCGTGCTGCATTGATAAGCACTCAATAACGGACTCGTAGCCGCAATCGGGGTAAGAGAAGACAAAGGGAAGGGCCATTTCCATGCCTCCCGAGTTTACGCGGCCTCCAACCAACCAACCAATGTACGGCACGTCGTACCGCATAACTCTTCAACGACTCGACCGTTAAGAACCGCACCGGCAGCATTCGATAGCCTATGCAAAGGGCTATCCAGGGATAGCTTGGTTGCAACATGCAACAACTCTAGGCCACAACCCGCACGGATTCCCTCCGTCACCCTCAAGGGGGCTGAGCACCAACACACTCTACCGGTACCACACATTTAGCCCCAAACGCGCAATTAAAGCTAACTCGCGCATACATGCAACCTTGCCACATCTATGAGCCCTCTAAGAGGAAGCCATAGCCGCAATCCGGGCTCAAAACAGCAAAGGTATGGAGCAGATATGGGCATCCACGTCACAAACCGCCCTCCACCAACCACCAAGCGTACGGCATGCGGTACGGCATAGCGTTTCACCCACTTCAAAGTTCGCGATCGCACTGGCACCATTGGATAGCATATGTGAAGGGCTATCCAGGGACATCTTGGCCGTCACATGCAACAACGTCTTGGGTGAACGGCGGTGATTTCCCGCATTCACCCCCATGAGGCCTTACCACCACCGTCCCCTACCGTTGCCACACCATTTGCCACAAACGCGCAGGTAAACCTCATGCGCTTACACATGCAACCTTGCCACATCTATGAGCCCTCTAAGAGGAAGCCATAGCCGCAATCCGGGCTCAAAACAGCAAAGGTATGGAGCAGATATGGGCATCCACGTCACAAACCGCCCTCCACCAACCACCAAGCGTACGGCATGCGGTACGGCATAGCGTTTCACCCACTTCAAAGTTCGCGATCGCACTGGCACCATTGGATAGCATATGTGAAGGGCTATCCAGGGACATCTTGGCCGCAACAGGCGACAACGTCTTGGGTGAACGGCGGTGATTTCCCGCATTCACCCCCATGAGGCCTTACCACCACCGTCCCCTACCGTTGCCACACCATTTGCCACAAACGCGCAGGTAAACCTCATGCGCTTACACATGCAACCTTGCCACATCTATGAGCCCTCTAAGAGGAAGCCATAGCCGCAATCCGGGCTCAAAACAGCAAAGGTATGG